AAAACAACTGTTCAAAATCTTTGGGATGCAGCAAAGGTGGTCCTAAGAGGAAAGTATATAGCAATACAAGCCTTTCTTAAGAAACAAGAAAGGTCTCAAATATACAACCTAACCCTACACCTAAATCTCCTTTTATATTCTGCCAGCCCTGGTTTCCAAAGGACTGAGACCAAGGCTGGCTTATTTTCCTGGCAGCCCAAGGCTTGGTCTGCAGATGTGAGCACGAGCCCAGTATCTTCAAGAGCTGATAAGCTTTCCCTTGGGAACTAGGGTCCTTCTATCAGTGGGCTAAAGTTTGGATGTATTTCCCTTTCTCAGTGAACCCTTGCTCTATTTAATGGAGTGAAGTATATTCCTGGGCTATCTTTCTATGTGCAACTCAAACTTTTAAATATCCAGGACCCATTCTGTTCTCAGGATAGCATAGAGGATTTCCTGCCTCCATTTTGCAATAATGTTTCAAATAGGTCCAGCTATTGTAAGCATGGCAAGGGAGGGTGGCAAGGAAGTATGCAGACGTGGAGCAGTTTTGAACGTGCTCTAAGAGGGATAATGCCATATCTCAGCTTTTATTTTCTGTCATATCCCAGGTAGCCAGTGATTCTCTGTACTTTGCGAGAACTCAGAAATAAGTCATAAGTGGGGCACCTGGGTAGCTCAGTCTGTTAAGTGTCTGACTCTTAATTTTGGCTCAGGTCGTGAGACTGACCCCTGCATCGGGCTCTGCACTGGGCAAGGAGCCTGCTTAAGATTCTCTCTCTCCCTTTAGCCACCCCCCTCTCTAAAAATAATAATAAAATAAAATAAATTAAGTCATAAGCATGTCTCCGAGCTGAAAGGATTCTCAAAGATCATATAGTCCTTTGATGCCAAATTCCATTATATGTTTCATTTAGACTACCTTCATTTTCTGGGCTGGATCCAAGGAATTAGGAAGGTGGAGGGTAATAGAAAAAGAGGCCAGTGGAGTCCAAGCTGCAGCTGTTGAGGACAGGGGTATACAGGAGCCTTATTCATTTCATTCCCATCTAACACCTAGCTTAGCCAATATGTTAAAGTTTGACAAATATTTGATTTAAATAATCATAATTATTATTTTCTTACAGTGAAATTTGAAGTTACCTACTGCCCATGGAATGTCTCGCATTAACTGTTCTTTTTTTTCCCCAAACAGTTCCCATCTTTATTTATTTGTTTGTTTTTACCTATCAGATTGGTACACTTTTTTCGTTAAGAAATTTTAATTTTAATAAAATTAACATACAGTTTTATATTAATTTCAGGTGTACAATATAGTCTTCAACAATTCTCTACATGACTCAGTGCTCATCATATGAGTGTGCTCTTAATCCCCTTCCCCTAGTTCACCCCCCACATCCACCTCCCCCTGGTAACCATCTCTCTCTAGTTAAGTCTGTTTTTTGGTTTATCTCTTTTCTTCTTTGTTCATTTGTTTTGTTTCTTAAATTCGACATATCAGTGAGATCATATAGTATTTGTCTTTCTCCGACTGACTTATTCCAGTTGGCATTATACTCTCTAGATCCATCCATGTTGTTGCAAATTGCAAGATTTCATTCTTTTTTATAGCCCAATAATATTCCTATATATATATATCACCTCTTCTTTATTCATTCATCTATCGATGGATACTTGGGCTGCTTCCACAGTTTGGCTATTGTAGATAATGCTGCAATAAACATAAGGGTGCATGTATCCCTATGTATTCTTTGGGTAAATACCCAGTGGTGCAATTACAGGATCACAGGGTAGTTCTATTTTTAAAGTTTTGAGGAACCTCCATATTCTTTTCCACAGTGGCTGCACCAGTTTGCATTCCCACCAACAGTGCACGAGGGTTCCTTTATCTCCCCATCTTCTTTAAAATTTTAATTATTAATTAATTAATTTACTTATTTATTTATTTAGTTCAGTTAGCCAGCATATAGCACATCATTAGTTTTTGATGTAGTGTTCAACGATTCATTATTTTTCCCCATCTTTGCCAACACTTGTCATTTCTTGTGTTTTTGATTTTAGCCATTCTGACAGGTATGCAGTAATATTTCATTGTGGTTTTGATTTGCATTTCTCTGATGCTGAGTGATGTTGAGCATCTTTTCATGGGTCTGTGGCCATCTGGATGTCTTCTTTGAAGAAATGTCTATTCATGTCTTCTGCCCATTTTTTAACTGGCTTATGGTTTTTTTGGTGTTAAAAATATGGAATGCTTCACAAATAGGCATGTCATCCTTGTCCAGGGGCCATGCTAATCTTCTTTCTGTCATTCCAGTTTTAGTATATGTGCTGCCAAAGTGAGTACCTGTCTCCATCTTTAAACAAACCAAAACCGACAATAACAACAACAAAATCTTCTTGACCCCATAGTCATGGGACATCTACCCACCCTCCTTCCCTTCACAGCCAAACCACTTGAAAGAATTGCCTTTACTTTTAGCGACCCTCACATCCTACTCACTCAGACTTCTACTGAGATGACTGCTGCCAAGGTCATCCAAGGACCATTGTTGCCAAATCCAGTGGCTCCTCCTTGCTCTTTATATTCTTATTTATAACAGTAAAGTATTTAATTTTTTTTGTTTTTGATTGTTTTTTGAAACAATAAAAAAAAAAAGACTTCATTTTTTAAAGAGCAGTTTCAGGTTCCCAGCAAAACTGAGGGGAAAGTAGAAATTTCCCGTGTACCTGCTTCCCCTGCTCATGCGTGGCTTCTCCCGTTAGCACCATCTTCTACCAGAGTGGTACGTTTGTTGCAACTGATGAATGTACATGGCCCATGACATGGGCACGTGGGTGTATATTTGCCTTAAAAGGCCATATTTTAAGATGTTAGGCACTGATTTTTTTCTGAAATTATATAGGTAATTTTTTTTTATCTTCCAAAGTTTGCTACAATAATTTCCCACATTTTCTACTTCAAACAAGTTATTCTTTTTATCATGAGAATAACTCCCTCCAATAAATGGCTTGATAGTCGGCACCCAGAATTACCAAAAAAAAAAGGATGGTCTACATGGATAATCTGCTGGATTTTTAGCAGCAGAAGGCTTTCTTCAAATGAGCTCCTACCCAGAATTAAATATATATATTAAAAAAATATAAGTGGCCTTGTGACAGAGTGCCTCAGTCTGCTATAAACTTAGGTGTCCCTAGGGAACCCTAGGGCATGATGGACAGTTTTAGAACCATATCTTAGAACCTTCCTCATCTGCCTCACTTGCTTTAAAATTGAGATGCTTTGGTTTAAGCCAGTGCTTTTTGCTTTAGGATGGAGCCTGGAATCTGTACTAGTGAAGTGTCCAGAGAAAGCCTACATACTCTCCCCAGCAGAAAACTCTGGGGACAGGTGTATCAACACAAGATCTCTTTGTTTGAGCATGTGTGTTTTCTTCATGACTCTGCCTTACACATCCTAATTACCATTTAATTCATTCCTCTGAGTGCCAGCTGAGCGCCCACTTTCTGTCCCCACAGCTCTCAGTCCCTGTTGCACAGCGGTTACCATGGTAATAGATTCACTCAACCATCACTGGAGTACCTGCTTGGCGGTTTTGTGTTCTCTGTTCTGCGCAACTCTACACCTTAGCAAGTTGTTTCCAGATGCGTTCTGGCTTTCATCAAAGTCATCTTCATTCTAAGAAAAAAGTACAGATTGCAAAAATACAATTTCAGGACCAAAAAACCCAAATGTTATTTCAAGAAACAGGACCTAGAAGACTTTTGAGGGATGGGGTGGCAAAGATGAGGTGTTCAGATGCGTCAGCTGAATAAAGAAAGAACCAGTGAATCTTGGGCTCAGAAGGAGACAGACGATTTCTGTTTTGCTCTGCTCTGATAGAGGGAATGGTGTGGTCCAACCTGAGAAAGAGAGAGAGGAGGACCAGGCGCCCCCATCTAAGTCATGTGACTTTATAATAAGCAGAGTTGAAACTAGGGTGTGTCACATAACACAGGCTTCCAATGTATAAAATAAAGCGAAATGTAGGCCAGATAGTTTTCTTCTTAGATGTTGGATTTTGAGATGCTAAAATGTGTTTTGTTTAGTTTAAAGCAACCTCTGGTAGTAATGAGAATAAGAAAAATGCCTTCTTTTGTCAGGCTGTGGTGATTTTACTTTAAGGAAGTGAGTAAGCTGTGTTCTTGGAGGAATGTCCTCACCCCAAGCGGCTGTTCTGAGATGTGACAGACACCTGGCTCATTTCTCTTTTACCTTTTGGGATGGGGGGCAGGGTCCAGTCTTTCTCCCACCTCATCCCAACTTGCCTTCCTCAGTTACTTCATTCCAAGTAAGGCAACAAGATAGATAAACCGTGTCAGGTAGGTCCCTATAGCTTTTCAGGAAATGTCCTCTGCTAGGCCTGTCGGCTGTGACCTTGTCTTTGAAAGAACAAGTGTATGACTTTGATTTTAACTTTAGATCTCTGACTGGCCCCAAGGAGCTATAAAAGAATGACAGTTCTGACCTAGGTTGCATTTTCTTTTTTTTTTTTCAAGATTTTATTTATTTGTTTGAGAGAGAGAAAGAGAGAGTCCAAGCAGGGGGAGGGGCAGAGGGAGAAGGAGAAGCAAACTCCCCGCTGAGCAGGGAGCCCGATGCGGGGCTCGATCCCAGGACCCTAGGATCACGACCTGAGCTGAAGGCAGACGCTCAACCGACTGAGCCACCCAGGCGCCCCGGTTGCATTTTCTATCTATCGAAACACGAGAGCGTATAAAGCATGAATAAAATCTAACTTCCAGCACACGCATGATTTATGCATGAAAGCCTTGTTGCCATACTGACCTTTTGGTTATGGCTGTATATCTTACTTTAGCACAGTCCTCCACACGTAGGAGATGCTAACAATTCTTTGTTGGATGAATGAACCACAGTGATTTTAATGTTGCATTAACGGGTGTGGCCATGCGGTACATCTGAGTATTTGGTAACAAATACAGTAGGGGGCGCTGTATACAGTATGGAAAGATGACAAAAGTGTTGCTAATTGCAGAAGCTGGCTGGTGGCCACGTAGGGACTCATTTTACGAATCTCGCTTTCACGGACGCTGAAAATTTCCTTAACAAAAAGTTAAAAATAAAACTCAGCATGAGTTGGTGGAAATACAAGACACAGGTAAATGAGGGGGCTGGTTTTCGGGTTCCCTAATTACATGTGTGATGCTGGGTAGGTCACATCTTCTCAGCCCCAGTCTACCCATCTATACCACAGTTTCGATTGCGTGTTCTTGTGATCTCTTCCAGAATCCTGACATTTTCTGGTTTCAGGAGGAGCGGCCCAACCTTCCTGGTAATTCCTGCTAATTCTTGATTATTCCTGCCACCTGGTGGCAGAATCTGAAACTTATGGAGCACAAGGAAGGGGCCTGCCTTTTTCAAGTTCATGCAAGAGAAAGGGATATGTGTGTGTGTGTGTGTGTGTGTGTTTGGGGGTGGGGTAAAGTAGGCGGAAGTGGTGACAAAGGCACTTCTGGATGTATTTTGTAACATGTAATGGGATTATTTTACCCCTAGTAGAGTGTACACCTTGGCTTTTTTTTTTTTTTTTAAAGATTTTATTTATTTATTTGACAGAGAGAGACATAGCGAGAGAGGGAACACAAGCAGGGGGAGTGGGAGAGGGAGAAGCAGGCTCCTCGCTGAGCAGGGAGCCCCATGTGGGACTCGATCCCAGGACCCTGGGATCATGACCTGAGCCGAAGGCAGACGCTTAACGACTGAGCCACCCAAGCGCCCCTCACACCTTGGCTTTTTAACATGTTCAGGAAGAACAATGTTTCCCATCAGAGGATTTTCCAACAGGAATAATGGGGGTATTGTGGGTGTTGATTGGTGCTGGAAAAATAACCCTTGAGACATTGCTTGGCTTTGTTTTATCGCTTCTTTTCAAATTGGAGTCCTAGGGCCTGAATGGGTGGTCCATAATTACTCCTTAACTCCTTGTTTCTTTACATCTACTTAGCAATTCAGATTAAGTAGATACATTAGTACAGATGACTACATACCTTAGGACACTGAACTACAACCAATATTGTGTTCTAAATGCAAGCTTGTCACTCCACTGAGTGGGTGACAACGTTGTGGTGTTGTGTATGAGTATTTCTAAGCAGCCACTTAATTTCTCTAGTTAGTGTTATTTGCTGGGTGTACTCAATTCTGGCTTGAGATCCTCTGAAGGGCAGATTATTGAGCCTGGAGTCCCTTGTGCCTGGGCTTCGATCCTGCACTTTCCATGCTGCTCAAGCAACTACAGATCTCCAGTGGGTGTTGCAGGGAGTACAGATGAACAGAGGTTTTTTTTTTCTTTCTTTCTTTCTTTCTTTCTTTCTTTCTTTCTTTCTTTCTTTCTTTCTTTCTTTCATTAATGTATTCCTTTCATTCAGTTTCTAGACCATACAATTTCTAAAACATAAGAAATTACTGAAACCATTCCCCCATCTATTTGGGTATTTCCTGTCCATAGAATTATAGCTGAACATATAGCCACCCCCAAAAGAGGCTGCATTTCCACCTCTAACTAGATTCTGGCCAATTGAAATATAAATAGATGTGGTGCCCTGAGTGGGGCAGCTCGGGAATGTCCCTTAAGAGATGGCTGGTGCTCCTTGTTCCTTTCATTTTTCCCTATGTCCTGCTGCCTTGTGTGTGGTTGGTTCCAGCTGGGCCATGAATGCCAGGGTCCCATCCTGGGGATGTCAGAGGGATGAGTTGCAGGGCATCTACTCTGCAAACCTTGAGTAGGTGCTTCCACTCCAGTTCTGTACTACCCACGTCCTGCCTTTTATCTGCTGGAAATAAGCTTCTCCCTTGTTACTTTTGGTTTTTGCTTTTCTTTGCACCTGCATTGATATAATATGTAGTAGTTACAAGACACAGGATTGAACTCTTTAAAGTCCTGCGTTCTCCATTTTGACAGATGAAGAAACTAAGGCAAAGCTAAGTGGATTGTGTGACTCAGGTTATACAACCAGAATAACTGGGATGGGACCTGAACTCACTGTCCAACCCAAACTGTACCATGCCTGTAGTGTTTGGACCTTGGGCCAGGACACTTTGGCCTCAGGAATATCTAAAAAGATAGTGGTACACTTTCAGATTAAATTCCCCTTCTATCAAGAAGACCTGATTTGAACTCTATAGATATATTTTTTTTAAAGATTTTATTTATTTATTTGACAGAGAGAGATACAGCGAGAGAGGGAACACAAGCAGGGGGAGTAGGAGAGGGAGAAGCAGGCCTCCCTGTGGAGCAGGGAGCCCGATGCGGGGCTTGATCCCAGGGTCCCGGACCACGACCTGAGCCGAAGGCAGACACTTAACGACTGAGCCACCCAGGCGCCCCGAACTCTATAGATATTAAAAGACCAGTCAGAATGGCTAGAATAAAAAAGACAAGACATAAGAAGTGTTGGCAAGGATGTGGAGAAAAAGGAACCCTTGTGCACTGTTGGTGGGAATGCAAATTGGTGCAGCCGCTCTGGAAGACAGTATAGAAGTTCCTCAAAAAATTAAAAACAGAACTACCATAGGATCCATAAATTCCACCTCTGGATATTTATCTGAAGAAAACAAAAACTCAAGAAAACACATGCACCTCCATGTTTACTGCAGCATTATTCACAATACCCAAGACATGGAAGCAGCTAAGTGTCCATCAATAGATGAATAGATAAAGAAGATGGGGTCTATATCGATAGCAAATGGAATATCACACAGCCATAAAAAAGGATGAGATTGTGCCATTTGGGACAACATGGATGGACCTAGAGGGTATTATGCTAGTGAAATAAGTCAGGCAGAGAAAGATGAATACTGTATGATTTCATTTATATGTGGAATCAAAAAAACCCCACAAATAAATAAATAAACAAAAAGCAGAATCAGACCCATAAATACAGAGAACAAACTGCCGGTTGCCAGAGGGGAGTGGGTGGGGGGATGGATGAAACAGGTGAAGAGGAGGGGGAGACATAGGCTTCCAGTTATGGAATGAATAAGTCACAGGCGAAGGGTACAGCATAGGGTCAATGGTATTATAATAGCATTGTACGGCAACAGATGATAGCTACACTTGTGAGCATAGCATGGTACAGAAACTTGCAGAATCCCTATGTTGTACACCCGAAACTAGTGTAACAATGTGTATCATTGTGTTACATTGTGTACACTCAAAAAAAAACCCACCCCAGCCAGATAGTAATGGCAGAGGTGCTGAAAGATTCCTGAAATGCTTATGGCCACTTTTCTTTTCTTTTTTTTTTTTTTTTAAAGATTTTATTTATTTATTTGACAGAGAGATATAGCGAGAAAGGGACACAAGCAGGGGTAGAGTCAGAGGGAGAAGCAGGCTTCCTGCTGAGCAGGGAGCCCGATGCGGGGCTCGATCCCAGGACCCTGGGACCATGACCTGAGCTGAAGGCAGACGCTTAACGACTGAGCCACCCAGGCGCCCCTGGCCACTTTTCATCTATATCTAGGCTTCGGTCATTTCTCAAACAGGATAATGGGCCTCCCACCCTACAGACTGGTTTTAAGTAGATGCTCTCCTTTGGTAGCAGGAGTGGGCCCTCCTGCATTTGTGGACAAGTCTTGTCTCCATGATTAGTCTGGCGCTTTCTCTTGCAACCATGTCTGCTCCGCTAACTTGGTCTCTCCCTCCCACGGTGGCCCTGATTCTACCATGTGGCTTCCATTTCTCAGTTTTTGTGGTTGGGATTTCTTTGCTGCAGACTGTTTCCCTGTGCCGGGGAGCCTTTCTTCAACCTTCTTCACAGAAACTGCTCTGGCCTGGTAAAAAAAAAAAAAAGAAAGAAACTGCTCTGGCCTGGTGTGCTCTGGCTGCATGACTGGCCTTTCCAAGGGGGCATTAATGGGCTTGAGCCCGGGGCGAGAACGGACACCTTCACCCCTGGAGAGACTTTCGTCCTGACCTTTGATGGGACAAAGATGATGTCACTTTATGACAGATGGGAATGGCCCATCAGGCAAATATGATGTCGATAAGGACTCTGAAAAGTCGCTATGAAGATCTTTACCTGGTTCTAGAGCTTGACACTTCACAGCAAGTTTTGTGAAGTGTTTGCTAATCTACCTTGGCTGGAAGGCTTTGTATCACCAGAACAGATTTAGATTGGTGATCATAGTTGTTTATTTTCTTATGTGTGTATGTGTCTATTTGTCTATGTATGTATGTATGTATGTATGTATGTATCTATCCTTCTACCTATCTTCACATTTCTGTACACCTTTTTTTTTTTTTAAAGATTTTATTTTTTTTTATTAGAGAGAAACAGCATGACAGGGGAGAGGGTCAGAGGGAGAAGCAGGCTCCCCGATGAGCTGGGAGCCCGATGTGGGACTCTATCCCGGGACCCTGGGATCATGACCTGGGCCGAAGGCAGTCGCCTAACCAACTGAACCACCCAGGCACCCCATTTCGTTACATCTTTAAAGCAATCTTTTGAGAAACAGTCAGTGGGATATATTCTGAGGAGTGATGCCTGAAAAATTACGATGGATGTCCAAGTCCCAAGGCCTGTGGCAAAAACGGGACTGTGATGTCATTTGGAAAACTTGGAACTGTGTAAATCTGTATCAATCTATATTATACCCCGAGCCTCTAAGCTGAGAAGACAGATTCTCTGTCCCCTGTTCTCTGCTGAATACCACGTGCGTAACACAATGGCAGGCATGGAAGGGCTTGGTAACTGTTTTGCAATGGAAAGATATTCCTGGGGGCTGCTGAGCTCGTTAAGAGTGCAGCTAAAATAGTGTCTGCACAACTGAGGAGAGACAGAATGGTACAGGACTGCTTTCTCTACTTCTCCAAGAAGGTTACTGTATGTTCTAACATTCTAAGCCTTAGATGCCTAAATGAGGGTGTCAGAAATATACCTCCATTTTTTTTTTAAGCTTCAAGTGATCAATTTAACCTTTCTGTGTCCATTTCTATGGACATGGAATGGGACAAGATTGGAACAACTGTTTCAAATAGTGGCTTAAAATTCAAAAATGCAACAATTAGATCAAAAGAAGTGGCTCACCATGAATCTTAGAATGACTGCTTTCAGGAATATTGGCAAATTATCTATATTAATTGGTGCTGCATTATGATAAAAGGCTGGGTCCCATGGTCATTTCTGGGTTCATGTCCAGGCTTAATTTCTTGAGGCCGTGTTCACCACTGTATAGGAGCATAGCATTCATTACCTACCTAGTGCCATGTAGAGTAATTGACTTTTGTCAGTTGACGTTTATATTAATTTTATGGTTGAGTTTGCTACTTACTTGCTGGCTTTCAGGCATTTATAGTCACTTTGTTCTCTGTGGTTGAAATTTGGCATGGAAGAGGCAATATCTGTTTGGTGAATCTGATCTTTTCACATTGTTTGGGAACGTCTCCCCCTTTATTTATTTTGTACATTTAAAAGTCTACAAATGTCAAATATTTTAAGGCCATTTTCTCTATAATGTTTCCTCCAAATTGCCTGGGCTTTGCCTCGGAAGGATTGCATTTTCAGAGGCGGTATCCCAGAAGCCTTTGCTCTTTGCCTATTGCACGTGACCCTCTTGGCTCAGGTGGCCTTGTGCCTCAAGTCTCAGGTGGCCTTGTGCCTCAAGTCTCAGGTTTACGGAATCCTTAATGTAGTTCATGGGCGCTAGCTAGACCGTTCCTCCCTGAGATGGTCCTGTTTTTCTTATGGGCCTGTGTGGGGTTATGGACTGGGTTAAGGAGGTGACCTGGCCAGCCTTGGTTCATTATCACACTTCCCTGGCACAATTCTCTGTCACCTCTGAATGCTCTGAAGGGAGCTTAGAATTGGGTGTGAGGAGACAGGACCACAGGACACTGGTAACATTCTCCCCTTGTGATCTTTGTGAGCCAGGGGCAAATGGAAACCCTAAGTATAGGAATGTAAGGAAAGGCACGGTTCTACATCCAGTGAGAGAAATCAGAGGAAGGTTTATAATGATTAGATTTATAAAAATAAATTGAAGCCTGCAAGTACTCACAGAATATGGTTTCCATGATTTTCCTGAGGATTTTAGCTGAATATAGAGGAAGTGAAAAGTGAAGAGGAAGTGAAGTTCACTTCTGTGAGGTGAAGAACAATGGTTGGATGGGTACAGAACAGATTATAAGCATATCAGTTGTTGACCCTAGTGATCTCACGGCCGACTGGACAAGGCCCAGCATCACATGCGAAGATCATACTCCATATCGCCAGCCCAAGAAGAGGTCAAAATTCAAAATTCAAAGTACAGTTTATACTAAATGCACAATACTTT